AGAAGGAGAAGGAGATCTTATCACTGGCCGTAAGGTTTGGTGGTGAAGACTGCGAATGAGTTGATGAACTAAGACTGAAGGAGGTTTGAAGATTTTTTCTTCTTTTCTATGTTTAGAGATCTTAATTGACTTAGATGTAGTGGCATTGAATTAATGCGTTTTTGTCTTTTTTTTTTTTTTTTTTGTCCTTCACAGCCGCATTTGGCGGTTTGTCCTTTTAGAGGGATTCCATGCCCTGACTGTAAATTTACCATGGCACGGAAAGATCTTGATACACATAGTGCCAAACAGTGCCCATTGAGAGGCACGGTGTGATTTCTGCCAAGAGCAATATCCGGAGTGTCAAATGGAGGTATATGAACCAACCAGTACGTCTGGACTCTCCGAAAATTAAAGCTAACAAGAATTTTCTTAGGCAGGAGCCGTAGATAAATTGATTATTTTGGAAAAATATTTGTGATTGACACAATTTTCACATGATTGGGAAGAGAAATAAAGCGATCTTGAACGATTATGTACATTACCAACTAGGATGCTCTCACTGGCCACTCTGAAAAATTAGGTATCAAGATAGGTTAGGCAACATGGCAAACTTAATATTCTATACGGGCATTGTATATTGCCAGGGGAAAAATCCGAAAAACTTCATTTGTAAGAGAAGAGAGAAATTAAAACTGAAAGGTGATGCCAAATGAAACCATGTAGAGTCGTACTAATATTTATCATCTACTTCCTTGAATTCTGTCACGGTGTCTCTCCAAAATGGGTTTATGATATAGTACATATATACACATACACACGTATATGTATAAATCCTTGAAGTCAAATACTGCAGGTACTTGTTATATGTAAATACACATGCTGGTAATAAATCAACTTTTTTGTAAAAATATTGATCTTTGGTGAAAATGAAAATGGTTCCACGCAAATGAATATGTAGCTTCCGTTAGCGAACAGCAAAATGTGTCTTTTTTTTCCACAGGGGCATCTCAAAAGCTGTGGCAGATGTCTAGTTCATTGTAAGAAATGTAACGCCATTGTCTCTCGTCAAATGGTTAAAAGTTAGAAGACATAACCAACATAACATTCTCATTTGAGTTGATGCTCTCTTTTTTTTTTTCTTCTTCCTTTTTTTTCCAAATAATGCTATTAACGGTAGGAAAATAAGCTGAGTAACAGTAATCCTTATAGCAGGCCTCGCATGTTTACAAGCGATTCACTCTAAGGCTTTAGATTTCACGTGTAGTTTCACGTGACTTTTGATGTAAACAAACCACGAAAGTTCGGACATTGAGTCGAGCTCGCAGCAGATGTGTTGGCAAACGGATGAGGAAGAGGAATACTACGATCTCTGGTTTACTTTTGAGGACAGAGGGTCAAACCGGGGCAATGTCCTTCAAGCTAAATGCAAATGAAAAGGTGGTCGAGATGGGGATGTAAGCACGTTGCAGCTGCCATGTATTTCTTAGAAGATTTTTTAAACACTCGAAGTAAAGATAGTGTAATCAGTGACCCATATATCTGAGTAAAAAAAATATTAAAATACTAAATCGCGCTTAGTGAAGGACCTGGAAAAAAAAATGAAAAAACCCTCTCACAAAAAACAAAAAAAACAAACAAACAAAAAAAAAACAAAAAAAAACCTTACACTCTTATCCCCAGTGTATTGACCGAGATGTTCGCGCTCCTGAAGGCAAGAATCCAAAAGATGAGGAGTATCACCGTCAATTCACCAAAAAGATGTGCGAGTTTACAACTGGTGCTCCTGTAGCTATCTTGCCCCTAATCAAAAACTTCATTACACTTCCGAAGTTGACTCGGAACTGGACAATGAACCTTTTAATAAGGCTAAAACTGATATCATGAATAACAAAATACAAGAGATTGTTGCAAGGCCATCCCAACATCTCTAGCAAAGATGTGTTGAGGTTGTTATCCTTCAGTGATGCAGAAAGAGATTATGTGGAGTACACTGCCTCAATGCATTGGCAAGGTGAGGAATGGTATTTTCACAATGCTGGTTTGCTTACATCAAAAGTCGACTGACACTACACGTGAAGTCTACAGCCTGAAAGCTGAATTGCAATCATCCAAAGTTTCTCATGATTCCTACTGAGCAGATAAGATAATTAAAGATAAGAGGGATTATGTATATTAATTTGGAGAAGCAGACTCTAAACCAACAGTGAGGGTTATCTCTGTCTTTTAGTTTATTCTTAGTTCATTATATATTTTAAATTGATATTTTACTTATTT